GGTACCAATTTTTATGGAGGTTCTTTGAGATGAGCTCATTTTGGACAGTCCTGACTTCGGCTTGTACATATCATCGGAGAGTATTACTGTAGTTGCACTTCCACTCATTCTGAGCATGATATACCATTCGTGTACATTTAAGGACGTTTTAGGCCCTGCCTCAGATCTGGCAGTCGCAATATTATCTTCGAAATAGGATACTACTTACCCTCTGTACTAACTGCGAGACTCATAATAAGTCTAGACTGACTTTCATTTCCATTTTTGCACCACTCCAGCAGCACAGTCACCAACAACAACAACAACAGCAACAACAACAGCAGCAGCAGCAGCTAGTTGCGGCAATGGCCGCCGTTTATTCGAATCCGAGCTCGCATCCGGGAGCCTCATTGGCTTCTCTCACTTCGGGTGCACTCCACCCGGCTTCACACTCACATTCGCACCACCCTGCCTCTTTTCCGCCCCCGAACCATCCTCATCACCACCAAAACCACACACATCCTCATCCCCACCTTCAACCACACCACCATTCACATTCTCATGCCGGCGCCCATCACGCCCACCCGCATCCCGGTCACCCGAGTCATTTGAGCTCCAGCCACCTCTCTGCCGGGCTGCCCACCTCTCCAGGCGGCGGGCTCGTCGCTGGCCTGCCGCCCGGCATTGGCAGTTTCCAGGCGCCCGCACTTTTGACTCCTGCCGCAGCAGCGGCCGCGGCAGCTCATGCCCACGCCGCCGCCGCCGCGGCCGCCCATGCAGCTGCAGGACAGTCTGCCGCCGGCCTTCCTGGCACTGCCGTGACGGCACAAACGGGGCAAGTTGGCGGCGGCTCCCCGGTCATGCTGCAAAACGCCCTGGCGACTGCGGCTGCCTTGGCAGCCTCGAATCAGGCTGCAGCAGCCGCGGCCGCAGCAGCCGCCGCCAACAGTCCCTTCCATCAGGCAGCTGTCCTCGCCAGCCTCATGGCAGCAGCCACCGCTGCCGCCAATGGCAACTGTCTCATTGATCCTACGCGTGAGCCATCTTCTTCTTTCTTACTCCATTTTTTCGCATAAATCATGTTTCATCATTAACTTTTATTTTCATCGAAGGTATAAAGACCAAGATGGTGTGGCTTTTTGTGTGGTTGCAGTCTCCTTTCGTTGATTAGAAGTTGTTTGACCTTGTTTTCGCAACTCGGTCATATTGGTCGGAAGACTTAAAAAAACGCACCTAGTCCGGAGTCCATTGTATGCATCATCATTTCCAGGAGTAGTAGTAGCATCGTCATTGAGTATCGCCATTCGTAGCACCATATTACAACTCGTCAAAGGGACAAGTAAAGCCCATCCTTTGACCAAACAGGTGCTAAACAGTCAAGA